CCCCCCCCGGGTGGGAAAGGCTAAGCCCAAAGGGACCCCGGGGGGTTGTGCCCCTCAGGGGCGTCGTTGTCGTTTTTTAAAATAAAAATACACTTCATGCGCTTTAAATGCTGCTTTTTAAGGCAAAAAAAACACCCACCAACCACTAAGCGTTTTCTCCTGCAGGAAGCCAGTGAGGTAAAAAGAGTGTCAGAACCCCCCGTTGGGACTTTGCCTGCCTATAAAAACCGATTTTAAGACCGTTTTGCGCGTTAATAATAATAATAAACGAGCGGTTCTTCTCTTCCTGCCTCCCTGCGGCCTGAGGTGGGACCAGAGGGGCTGGGGAACTGGTGGCACTGGGTTCTCAGCTGCCAGGGAAGTGTTTTAGGCTCCAGGCAGAGCATTTTCTTTTTATTACTGTGATTTCTTTAATACATGTGGGGTAGGAGGGTTGAACCTAAATGGTGGGTGAGATAGAGGCCCAGAGCTTTCTGGGCCCCCAATCCCACAGCAATTTATTGAAAACAAACCAAACAAAACAACTGGAAATGGATCATTCAGCTCCACAGCAAGCAGGGAAGTGAAGCGGATCAATCTGCGGCAGGGCAGAGAAGAAGGAATGTCCAGCCCTGGGGAGCAGCTGGTTGCTGAGGGAGATAACAGGGTCATCACAGAGCAGAACAGCCTCCTGCTTCCTCCTTTCCTCACCTCCTTCCATCCCCTCTCCCCGCCAAGCACAGTGCTTTCCAATGAAACCCTTGGCAAAAGAAGGGATGCTGCTCGTCCCCAGAGAGCAGGAGCCAGGCAGGGGGAGATAACACAGCTGGAACATCCTTCCCAGGTGACTTTTGGGAAGGGTAGGGCCATCCATGCTGAGGGAATCCACCCCTGGTACCCCCGAGGGCTGGTGGATCAGGGCTTGCTTGGCTCCCATCGCCTGTCCCCTGCCCTCCCCTCATCCCCTGCTCCCCACGGAGCTGCCCGGGGGGGCTTTGCCCCAGCAGGGACCTGTCCCCAGTCCTGTGTCCCCTCGGCTCAGCCGGAATCCCCCTCCCCTATTTCAGCAGTGACACTCCCACCCTGGCTGTGCTGTAGCTGAGATAACCCTCCCCATCTTCCCTTAGACACGTTCTGCCTCTTTCTGAACAGCTTCTCTTTTCCATTCACTCGTTTAACCCCTGGAAGAAGCTGAGCTCTTGCTCTGCAGGGCTTTCCCACGCAGCGAGCACGGGCTCTGCAGCCAAGCCCACCACCCCAAAACCTCCCCGTCCTGCCACCCTAACAACCCACCTAACACTCTCCTCCCCACCCCTGGCTCCCAAATTTGGGGCTTCCCGACCATTCAAACATCTCCAGGAGAGCAACGACCTGAACATCTGATGCAGGAAGAAGAAGAGGTTTATTTTCTGTCACTGGTGCTTGGAGAGAAGGACCCGTCTGCTGGCTCCTGTGGTTTATTTGGGGTGCTAAGCCCCAAATTCAGCAACCCAACAGCTCCTCGCCGGGCTGTGATGGCAGCAGTTTTGATAAGGAAGCTGTGACTCCCAAGAAGCTTGGGGGCAAAACTGGGGCTCTCCAGATGGCCGAGACCTTCAGCGTGGGGAGTGATGATGTGCAGCTGCCTTCCCCAGCCCCGGGGTCTTGTCACCCACCCGGGGGGTTGCTCCGTGGCAACGGGGCTGGTGGTGGCATTGCCCTTTGGGTGGCCAAGTTCAGGGTCAGCAGCTCTGCTCCAGGTGTCCACCCAGCTCCAGTCTGTAGCCAAGGGCTGGCAGGTGTAACCCTTGAACCCCAGACGTGGGGACAAAGTGCCCTTCAGCAGCCAGTTCCCATGGCTGGGGGAGGGGGGGGTGGAGGGGAGCCTGCAGCTCACAGCTCACCCTGCTGCAAAGCTGGACTCTGCTTTCATCCACAGCAAGGTGGCTCCAGACCTTAGAGCTTCTCCAGCAACACCATCTCCTGCCTACATCCCTGCCTGGACACCCGGGTGTTCAGCTGGTGGGGTCAGTGGTGGCAGTCGGGTGGGTGGCCAGTGGTCCCTGAGCCCCCCAGGCTGTCGGGTACCTCCACCTGCAACTTCTTGGTCAGCAGGTCCTCGTGGGGAGGTGGCAGGGGCCGCTTCAGCCCCTTGGTGGAGGAGCTGGATGTCTCTTTGACCTGGCTGAGCTGCACCCCCAGGCCGGGCCGGGGCTCGGGGGGCTGGTAGCCCGTCTGGTTGGGGTCCAGAGGGTCTCTGGAGAGGAGGATGCAGATGGAAGGGACGTTCTTGTGGACGGTCAGGTTCTGCGCCGAGCCACCGGGCAGCGGGTCCTGGTTCTCCCAGACCTCCAGCAGGGTTTTGTAGCGCACCTTGGTGACCTGGTGGAGACCCCCCAGCTTCCTCTTCATGATCTCCACGCAGGTGATGGTCTTGGTGACCGCGCGGCCGCAGCCGCTGAAGACGATCTGCCTCCTGCCCTTCAGCTCCAGCTGGGCCATGGCGAAGTTCATCAGGTTCCTGATCTTGCTGCCCTCCTTCACTTTCATCTCCACCACGTCCGGGGGCAGGTCGGGGAAAGGCAAGGGCATCTCCTGCTCTGATGTCCTCACCTTTCGGAAGTTCTCCATCCTGGAGCGGACCACGGGCTCGGCTCCCCCTCCTTCAGCAGCCATCCTGCAGCCCTTCCCAGAGGATCTGCCTGGGCTCCTAGCCCCCCAGCACCATGGCAGGGCTGCCCTCCTCCAGCCCAACCCGCAGCAAGGCTGGGTTTAACCCTCCATCCCCAGGCCCACCAAGCCCCTTCCCCTCTCCTCACCCGGGGCTGGCTGCAGAGGAGCTGGCAGCGCTGGCCGTGCCAGAGCTTGTCCCCTGGAAGGGGCTGGGTGCTGCGGGATGTCCTGGGGGTCCTGGGTTGCTCCCGGTTTGGGGACGAGAGCTGTGGGTGCTGCTTGTGCTCCTCCGCTCCCACTGCAGCACTGGCTTCTGCTGCTCTTCGCTTCATTCTGGACTTCAGCAGCCCCCAGAGCTCTTCGGTGTAATTAGCGGATCCTCCCCCTCACCCTCCCCTCTGTTCCCTCCTCCTTTCCCTGGCTCAGCCTCCCATCCCAGCACCCAGAGCCGGGAAGGGAGAGGGGAGAGGCCAGGGAGCCCCGCTCCCCGTCTGGGAGGGAAGGGAAGGGAAGGAAGGGGCAGAAGGGAACGGGAAAGGCAGAGGGAAAAGCTCACTCCTGCCTTCACGATGCTCCCCGAGTCCTGCCCCCTTAAAGAGAACCTGGTCCCTCCTCTCGCTTCTTTCTCTCAAGGACACCAGCAGCAGGGACCTCCCTGCCTGCCCTGCACCCGCTCCCCAGCACCATCCCCAGAGGGGCCAGGGGTCCCCGGGAAGGCGCTGAGATCCTTTGGGAAGGCTCAACCCTTATCAGCCATCAGAGAAGCGAGCGGGACCCGCAGGCAGGAGAAAGCCTGGCAGATGGCATCGGGGCTGAGCCTGCTGGGGCTCTGCTGCCCCCGCCATCACTCCCAGCCCC